TTCTAATACTGAGGATTGAACTTGGCGGATGGTTTACCACTGAATTACATCCTCCATCTTTTATTTTTTAAGACAGGGTCTTGCTAAGTTGCTTAGGGCTTTGCTAAGTTGCTGGTGCTGGCCTTGAAATTGTGATCTTCTTGCCTTGGCCTCCAAAATCACTGGAATTACATGCATGCACCATTATGCCTGGCCCTGGATTTACTCTTTAGCATTGCAACAAATGAAAGGAAACAAGAATGGAGTAGAGAAGTGCCTTAAAGTAAAACAATAAAAGTTGCTGAACAGGCCAGGCATCAAGTTGCTCCCAGGCAGGAGATTAAATGAAAACCCTCCTAGAAAGATGTTCTCTGCTGTACACTCAGAAAAATGAGAAATTATACCCCATCTGATTCAAATGTAAAAAAAAAAAAAGAAAAGAAAGATGTTCTCTGAAGGAAAATGTCCTAGGGGAAGGGCAAGGCATCCTTGGAAAGTGGTGACAGCAGACATTTAAAGAAAGAATGGGGTCAAACATCTCCAAGTCTACTTAGATGCAAAAGCTTTGTCAAGACTTTGTCTCCCACTTCATCCTGTGAAATCAAAAGTTTTCCACTTGTCTTGAGGATTAAATGAAATATCAAATACAGAGGTTCAAAAAAAGTCTCCCTATTCTCTTGGGCATTAAATCAAACCTCTAGGTCCTAAAGCAGGTGTACCTTGCCCTACAGCCAAGGAGCATTCTCCACCTAGTGGCCATTGTAGTCACTGTGCTGTAGAGTTGGCCAGTTTAAGAAGTGATTGACATTCCCAGACTGATGAAGCACCATGTATGGACAGTGAACTGGGGAGTGTCAGAAAATGACTTTCTTTGTAATGCTGGAATTAAAACAGGGCAGAGTAGATGAGGCTGTTAGGTTGGGGGAGAGAGATTTTTTTCCTAATGTGTTTAACAGTAGTCACTGTGTGGCACGCAGGGCAGGGTAGAGTAGAACAGCTCATCTGGCAGGGCTGCTGTCAGGGAAGGGGTTTCTTCTTCATATGCTTTATCTGCTTTGGGAAGGAACCCTGTCCATCCTACTTTAAGATTCCAGGTGTAAACTATGATTTCTTCCAGTTTCTTTTATAGTGATTCTGTAATCAGGCCTCACATGAAGCTAGTGGTGGTACTCAGACCAACACTGAGGGTCTCTTGAATCCCAGGCCAATCTTTCTATGTCATCCCTCATGGTTGCTACATGGGTACATGTACAGGTCTGTGTCTGCACTAGGGGGTTATTAATGATTACTTTGCATCTAGCTCTGGGATGGGATACATTCCAATCCATCTTTGTTTTGGTACCAGGGATTGGGCCCAGGGTGCCTAGCTAGCTCTCTTTTTTATACTTTAGTTGGAGACAGGGTCTTGCTAAATTGCTTAAGAGCTCACTAAGTTGCTGAGGCTGACTTTGAACTTGTGATCCTCCTGCCTCAGCCTCCTAAGCCACTGGGATTACAACCATGGCCACTAAGCCTGGCTTTCTTTTTCTTTCTTTTTTTCTTCTTCCGGCACTGGGAATTGAACCCAGGGCCTCACTCATGCTAGGCAAAATTCTATACTCCATTTCATCTTGTTTATGTTTTACACATGGTTCAATTTCTTCTCAGTTGTCATTGATTGCAGAGCCTGGGATAAGCCAGGGTTCTTTAATTATGGAAGATGACTTCAGGGTTCAGGGAAGAACTTCTGTGGGCATGGGGATACATGCCTGTAATCTCAGCAATTTGGGAGTCAGAGGTGAAAGAATCTCAAGTTCCAGGCCGGCCTTGGGAATGTAGTGAGACCCAGTCTCAAAAAATATAAAAGGCTGTAGATGTAGCTCAGGAGTAAAGCCCCTCTGGGTTTGATCCCCTATACGGACAAAACAAACAAAAAGCCCCCACCTCTGGTTAATATATTGCCTTTCCCCCGATTTCCTTAGTTAGATTGAATTAGGTTTCTGGCATTTATCACAATTCACTGAATCCTAACACAGGGGACCATGAGATATGTCATCTTCTTATGGCCTCACTTCCTCTGGGGGCCCAGGGCTTACTTTAGGCCAACAATAAAAATGACATTAGCTGTCAATTATATGGTATTTGTCACATGTCAGGTGTTTATAAAGACTTCATTTTTGTTGTTGTTTGTTTTGGTGGCACTGAGGGTTTACCTGAGGGATGCCCCACCATTAAGCTATATCCCTAGCTCTTTCTGATTTTTGAGACAGAATCTTGCATTAAGTTGTTGAGGCTGGACTTGAACTTGATTCTTTGCCTTAGCTTCCTGAGTCAGGATTACAGGTGCATGCCACCAGGTGTGGCTCATATTTAACTTTTAAATTTCTTATAATAATCCATAGGTACTCATGTTTCACTCTGAAGTAGAAGTTGACTAACCCAGGTATGCATGGCTTTGGAAAGTGGGTGCTGGGACCTGAACCCTGGCTGCCTGGTTTGAGAGCCTGAACTTGCCATTGCACCAGACTGCCTCTTCAGGGATGATACTTCTCTGAGACCTTCACTGGCTTCTAGAACCATGGGCAAGAGCTCCCTCTGATGTCTGCAGGCTGTATTATGGGTCCTGCCCACTAACATGTGATGTAATCCAAGCCTAGAGAAATTCAAACCTGATATTAGGGGTATTGAGAATAAGTGGGCCTGTGATTTGAAGTCAGGATCACTGGGTTCAAATTCCTGGGTATCATCACAATGGCTAAAATCAAGAAGACCAGTGCTGACAAGGATGTGGAACCGTTGCTTGGTGGGAATGTTAAGTTGGTAGAACCACTTCAAAAAACCATTTGGCACGGGCTGGAGTTATGGCTCAGCAGTAGAGTGCTCGTCTAGCACATGTGAGGCCCTGGGTTCAATCCTCAGCACCACATAAAAATAAAATAAAGGTATTGTGTCCAATTAAAAAAAAAAAAACCCAAAAACCATTTGGCAGTACTTAGGCAAGCAAAAACCACATATAAGCCAAAAAACGTCCAAGACCAAACCCAAACAACAACAAACCCAAAATAAACACAAATAACTAAAACCAAACCTACTCTATAATTCTACTCCTGAGAACATGAGTGCACTTGTGTACCAAATAACATGTACAGAATTTTTCATGGCAACTTTATTTGTAATAGCCCCAAACAGAAAATGATCATAATTTCCATCAACAGTAGAAAGGCTAAACTATAGTAGATTTAAATAATGGATTACTACATAGCATAAAAATGAATTCTTAAGTCTCAGATATAATACTGGGCAAAAGAGGATATATAATTCCATTTTTATAAAACTCAAGAGCTGGCAGACTTATCCATAGTGATAAAAGTCAAAATAATGGTACTTCTGAGAGATAGTGACTAATTAGAGGAATGAGGAAAACTCTGGAGGGTTGGCAATATTCTGTATCTTGTTTTGCAGTTCTGGGGACTGAACCTAGGGTCTTGGGCATGCTAGTTGAGAGCTCTACCAATGAGTTACACCCCAGCCTGATATTCTATATCTTGACCTGGAAGGTAACTGCCTAGAGGCCAACATATATGTAAGGACTTGTCATTCTAAAAACTGGCATACATAACTAAACAGATACTGTATCCCAAACTGAGGGTGGGGAAGAGAATGGTTATTAAATAAAAACAATTCCTGGGTCTAGTGGAGAACATTATTTTTTGTCTTTTAACTGGTAAGAGCCCTATAATTTTCTTTCTAGGGTCACCTCTCTTCCTCTTTCTCAATGTGTTTCAGATGTAGCTGATGTCTTCCCAGGCTTTAGATATATGACCCAGGGCCCAAATTAGAGCACTCATTCCCCTGACCAGTGACTGGTTCAGGAATGTAAACATGACCAAGCTGTCTAATGAGTTTATTAGTTGAACTAGTAAAGCTATTTTTTCCACTGTTGTTACTGATATATCAGGATATAAACCTAGAGTGCCAATGGCCACTTTGTCAACTTTTGGAGTTTGCCCGAGAAAGAGGCTGCACAGAAAAAAATGATATTCCTGATGAAACTGTGCACTGTCAACTAGGCATGGTGGTACACGCCTGTAATCCCTGTAGCTTGAGAGGCTGAGGCAGGAGAATCCCAATTTCAAAGCCAGCCTCAGCAACTCAGCGAAGCACTAAGTAACTCAGCGAGACCCTATCTTTAAATAAAATATGAAAAAGAGAAAAAAAAAAAAAAAAAAGAAAAAGAGCTTGGGGATGTGGCTCAGTGGTTAAGCACCCCTGGGTTTAATACCTGATACCAAAAAAAAAAAAAAAAAAAAAAGTGTGCACTGTGTTAGAACTTGAATCTAGCTATCATTGTGCTTGGAGTTTTCATTAAGTGGACCAACAAATTCTTTTTTTGTTTGTTTTTTAGTTAACCACTTTGATTTGATTTTCTTAGTTATAACTGTAGTCTACTACACTGAATATTGGATAAAATTCTGGGCTGTATGGGGGGGCGCTTGGAATGTAAAATAAACAGCGAGCCTTGTCTGAATTATTTGTGGATGTTGCTGCTGCTCTTGCCATGAGTGGCTGCTTGCTCTGAGACCATGGCACTGCCACAGATCATGTGGGAAGGATTCTGAACCACAAATCTAGAAGTGGATTCTACTTCCCATTTAGCTACTTCCTAGAGGTAAGATCTTGGCAAAATCACTATTATAACTCATTGAGACTTGTTCCTTCTCTAAATGAAATATAATTATCTAACTCAAGAAGTATTTATGGCTGGGTGTGGTGGCACATACTTCTAATCCCAGAGGTTCAAGAGGCTGAGGCAGGAGGATCAAGAGTTAAAAGCCAGCCCCAGCAACTTATTGAGGCCTTATGTGGATATGACTCAGTGGTTAAATGCCCCTGGGTTCAATCCTGGTACCCCTCCCACCCCTGTAAAAAAAAAAGAGAGAGTCATGTAGATCAAATGCTAGTTTCCCAACTTCTCCAGCTTTTTCATACTCGTGCTGAGTTATTTTTTGCATCCTTGGGTATTACCACAACACTCAGTACAATCTTGTCACAATGCTCTTTAATAGAGTTCACCTCTGCTGTCCCCACACCAATGCTGGTTGCACAGTTGGCAGGGATTCCTGAATCCAGGCAAAGAGGTCCCACAGGTCAAGGGTTTATGGTAGGGCAGTCCATTCCACCCCTTCGCCCTTCACTTCCCTGCCTGGAAACCTCCTGGACATTGCAGAAGAGCTCTGGGGAAGAGAGGAAGACACAGCTCAGTGATAGAGTGCTTGTCTAGTGTGTGCAAGATCCTGAATTCGATCCCTGGTAAAACACACAGCCCCCATGGACCTCTAGGGGGACACTGCTGAGGCAGTCTGAGGTTGAACATCTACGCTGGGGATATGTAGAACCTTTCACAGCTGGCCAGGAGCAGGTGCCTAGGGACTTTTTGCTGAGTGAATAATAGGAATTAGGGGTGCTTGGTTCTGGTTGTCTGCAACAAAGGTTGGAAAAAAGGTTCCTGAGGCCACGACACTCTTTCACTCCCCCCCACGCCCCACCATTTCTGGGTCACAGAAAAGGTCCTTCTAAGAACCACCAAGCCTGTAGTCCCAATGGAACAAAACTATCACTGGGTAAGAGCTAAGCAAGAAAAGGCTATCTCTCCTTATACACTCTTGTTCATTCATTCAACCAACACTCATGACCTGGCACCCTGAACATGAGAGCAGTGGAGAAGAACTTCAGAGAGCCTTGTGGGACAAAACAATCCAAAATCCTCCAAAGACCTCCAGGAAGCCCCATGTGAAGGGGGAGGTAGATGAGTAGATGAAATTTGGGGCACGAGGGAGACTTTTAGTGGTCCAAGCAATCTGGATATCTGTCTCTGTCCCAATCCTAAGATCAGACTGAGGACCCTGGGGGTCTGAGTGTGGGGGAAGAGGGGTTAAGACATACTTATCAGGTGTAGTAGCACATACCTGTAATCCCAGTGACTCTGGAGGCTGAGGCAGAAGGATCTCAAGTTCAAGGCCAGACTCAGCAATGTAGCAAGGCCTTAAGTAACTTAGCAAGGATCTGTCTCAAGAGATAAAGTGATAAAGGGCCTCTGGGTTCAACCCCCCAACCCTGACTCCCCGCAAAAAAAAAAAAGATGGATACGCTAGATCCAATAGCAACATGTCCCCAAACCCCAGGTCTGTTAAGTTGTATTCTGGCTCAAAGAAGAGATTCTTTATTTGAATGATTCAGTGACCAAGAGAGCATAAGCACACATACACACATACTCACGCACAATATGCAAAGGCATTTCACAGGTAGGGGATAGGAAGTGAGATAGGGGGCCACAAAAGCAGCTGGAGGCTTCTTTAACCCAGTGAAGAGGGGCCTCAGATGGAGACACTCCCTGGAATTCTTGTTCGAAAGCTATAAGAAAAAATGCACTCCTAGTGAAGTCCCAGGCCACAAATCACAGCAGAGTTAGAGAAATCTGGGTTTGAGGCCTGGAAAAATCTGTAGATTTTCCTCACTGTAGAAACCTGTATCAGCTCCCCATTTCTTTCCCTGGAGACCTATGACTCCCTGGTACTCAAGGATCTCCCCACGGGTAAGGGAAGGATAGCACCACAGCCGCCTGGTGTGGGATGGTCCGCTATAGGGGAAACAGGCTCCACAGGGCCATAGGGCAGCAGTGAACTTATCAGCTGGCTGGCATGAGGCAGTTTGCCTTTCAAAGCACAGAATCCTCAAGGAAGGTGGCAGGTGGGGACTTTCCCACATGACCGAGTGTTGGAGCACCTCTGATGGGAGGTGAAGGTCCTCATTGGAGCTTTCCATGGTCCCACTGGGTACAGAGGCCTCCTCCGGCTTCAGCTTGTCATCAGCTGCTACAAATCCTTAGCACCATTCAGGAACTGTGGAAATGGGCAGGAGGGACAGCAAGGCTTTGCTGGGACTGTGTCAGTGCTCCAGGAAGGAGATGTCACACTTGGCAGAAACCTGTATAGTTGGCCAGCATCTGACTCAAGGCTCAAGAGAGCCTGCACATTTTGCAGAGAGGGGGAGTGTCACATTGGCTCTAAGCTCGCATGTGGTGTCCATTTCCATCTACTGTCTCCTGCCCTGGCAAATCTGCATGAAGACTACAGGAGATGTCTGGAGCTGAGGGACAACTCTGTTTTTTAGCTGTAAGAACTGACCCCAAACTGACCTTTAGAGAAAAAGCAGGTGCTGGGGCCACAGGACGTGAGGCCCAGTAGGGCTGAGGAAGGGGAAAAGCCATCCTCCAATCTACCACCCAAGTCGTCTCAAGACCCCTGCTTCCCCGTCATGACCAACAGGACCCATACCACAGGGTGGAGCGGGTGCAGGTTTGCCTGGACCTATCAGAGGCTGTCTGTGGCCCAATTCTTCCTCTGGGCTACTTATTCTCCTACTGTAAGAAAGGAGGAAGAGGGAGCCAGGGGCTGACCACAGTCATAGGAAGCTGGCTCAGGACTGGTCCAGTGTGGAGTGCTAGACAGAAACCTCTAGTCTTCTAAGGTGCTTGAGTCTTTCTGAGTGGATTGCCTTTGTACTGGAATCTGGCCCAAGGGTGATACCATTGTTTTTGGTGACCTGAAATGAGAACCAACAAAGCACAGGGTCAGTGCGTGGCATCCTGTTAATGAGGTGTCAAGTCCCTTATTCTAATGGTAGCATGGCTCTTCAAGTACCTGGGAAGAGGAAGCAGGGCGGCTTTCCTCTTGTAACAAGGTCTGCTGCATGCAGGACAGGATGGATGGTGCACACTTTCCATTATCCTATTTCATTCTCATTCATTCTTCTGAATCCCCATTTTACGTATAAGTAAACTAAAGTTCAGAAAATTTAAAGGGCTGGCCCAAAGTAAGTTTTTTAGTGGTAGATTCAGGACTGCAGCCCATGCCCTTCCACTATACCAAACCATTTACTCTGCCTACTTGGCCTCGATACTTACCCTACCAACCTTATTCCACACCATTCTCCCGCTCACATTCAGTCAAATGTGGCTCTCCTGTCACTCTCTAACCCATTTTCTAGGGACATAGTACCACTTGATATTGCCTCACTTTTTTATGGATTTGTTTAGGATCTGTTTCTATTTCTAGAGGGAGGAACCAAAGTATCAGGGACAACACTGGTCTTGGTGCCTATTGTATCCCCAGTCTCTAAAACAGAGCCCAGCACATAATAGGTGTTGAGTAAATATTTGTTAAATAAATCAAAGTCTACCTTTAATAGATACAACTTATTGGCACTAGCACTTCACATATTTCTTCCTTTTTTTGCGTACTGGGGATTGAACTCAGGGGCACTTGACTACTGAGCCAGCCCTATTTTGTATTTTATTTAAAGACAGGGTCTGAGTTGCTTAGTGCCTTGCTTTTTGCTGAAGCTGGCTTTGAACTTGCAATCCTCCTGTCTCAGTCTCCCGAGCTGCGGGGATTACAAGTGTGTGCCACCATGCCTGGCCACTTCACATATTTCTTTCTTTTTTTTTTTTTTTAAGAGAGAGAGAGAGAAAGAGAGAGAATTTTTTTAATATGTATTTTTCAGTTCTCGGCGGACACAACATCTTTGTTTGTACGTGGTGCTGAGGATCGAACCCGGGCCGCACGCATGCCAGGCGAGCGCGCTACCGCTTGAGCCACATCCCCAGCCCCCACTTCACATATTTCTAATCCTCACCCAGACAGTAATGTGAGGCTGGTGAGTTCCACTTGGTAGTGGCAGAGCAAAACAAATGGGGTTTGCAGTTAAATAAGTATGAATCCTTGGTCTAATTCCAAGTATCTATGTGATCTTGGGCAAATCACTTAAGGTAAGTGATATTTGGCTTCCTCTGGTTGAAAATGAAGGGGATGTCCTACTTTTGAGCTGTTGAGAATTTAATGAGATGCAAGTGTTTATTCGTTCAACACATTAGAGCTTTAAACTTGCAGAAGAAATAGAGACTCAGAGAGGTTTATTGACTTGCCCAAGGCCACTCAGCTGAGAAGTTTAGGAACAGAACTATAAAACCATAATTTTCAAGTGTGAGTATCTTCAGGAAAAGCCTCTGGCTGGCTCTAGGTTGTTTACTGAAACTACCACTAGTCAAACTGCAAGATATGCTGAAACGCTATTTGAGTGCCAGGCTAGGATGCTGCGGCTTGTCTCAAGTCTGTATCTAAGATAAGTCCCAAGAGTTCTCCAAATTAAAGATTCACCTACAGATAAGGAGGAAGATCTGTTATAGTGTGGGAGAGGAAATTCTGGGCAGAGTAGAGGACCAAAGATATTTTTTATTCCAACACTCTGTATTCTTCTACCTTTAATTCATTTGGCTCAGTGAGCAATGCACAATCAACACCAAAGTCAAAGCAATCATTTCAGCAGATTTTCTGGCCTGGCACTCAATTTCCTCTTGTATAAAATGGGGATTATGATGACCATTTGAGAAGGTTATGTTATAGCACATTGTTTACACTATACATTTCCCTTTAGAGGGGGAGGGCCAGAAGCACACTGGCATTCCTGACTAGGACCTGTCCTCTTCATATCACATGGTACCATGACCTCCCCCTCAGCGTCATGTGCTGGGAGGAACACAATGTGAATCAGACAGGCTTTAGTTTGAATCACGGCCCTGACTCACCACATCACTTTGAATGTCGGTTGCCTATATCTGTAAAATGAGAGTAATAACTCCTTCCTTCCAAGGTTGTTATGAGGATAACATGAGAGAATTTGCTTTGCATATGGCCCACAACAGAACAGGGGTTCAATGAATGCTACTCACGTTCAAGATGATCATCACTATGTTCACCTGTTCAACCCATTTATCACAATTTTTTTGAGGGGTGGGGAGGTGGAGCTGGGAGTAGAACCCAGAACCTTACATTTGCTAGTCAAGTACTCTACCACTACATCCCTAGCCCCACTCACCACAATTTTTATTGATTGTTCATTTGCTTAGTTTGTCTCCTCCCATTAGAATGTAAGGTCATAAGAACAGGTACTGAGTCTGTTTTGGGGCAACCATTTGGGTATTCAATAAATACTTGGTCACCTAGTGAAAGAATCTAGTCCTATCTGGTAATAACCTATAGAGGGAGCTCCTGCTGCAGAATTGATGGTGTAAAGACAAGGGTCTTCAGGCTAGTTGGGGGGAAAAAAAAAATCACACTTCTCTGTAGTGGGTTGTTACAGATCAGGAAAAGGGTATTCTTAGGGGACCACAACAGAAATCATCTATGATTCTCTACAAAATCCTTCAGCCTAGCTGGTCCAAAGACTAGGGAGAAGCTGATGAAAGAAGAAGTTGATGGAAGAAGAGACACTTTTTCCTGTTAACTGATTTGTCTTATGTTGACTGAGATTACCAGAGTTCTGCTTAAACCTGGGACTACCTGGCTTTGTTCTGACTTAAAAAGCCTGGGCTCCTGCTTCAGACCTTTGAATTTCAAAGATGGTTACTCACTGGTTCTTGTGTTTGAAGCCGCTGACGTGAGCTTGGTACTGTTCTATGGAGTTCAGCACTATCTTACACGTCTTGCAGGGGTAGCCCTTCCCAGCTGAAACACACATCAAAATCAATATATTTAGTTATCCAATAAGAAGTGACTGGGGACTGTTGCTTTTTGGAGGGAGTGCAAATGCCCTTCTGAGGACTGATGGGTTGGGGGTGAACAGAGTGGCCCAGATGAGAAACCCAGAGGCCACAGTGTGGAGGAGGTAGCCTGGGTGCCTATGTGCTCTCTATAGAACCTTATTTTCCTATGTTGCCAGCGCCAGCAAAAAGCCCACCTCAGGTGTGGTCGTGCACGCCTGTGATTACAGTGCCTCGAGAGGCTGAGGCAGGAGGATTACAAGTTCAGAGCCAGTCTTAGCAACTCAGGGAGGTGCTAAGCAACTCAGTGAGACCCTGACTCTAAATACAATACAAAGTAGGACTGGGGATGTAGTTGAGTGCTCCTGAGTTCAATCCCCGGTATCAAAAAAAAAAAAAAAAAAAAAAAGCCCACCTAGACTGTCTGTTGAGTAAATAAAAGAATGACAGAACAAGGAGGTGACACTTGGTGTTAACTATTTTTCCTACCTTGACTGTGCTAAGTGGCCTTTTTAAGTATGCCCTTCACCGTGGACCTCCGGGAAGGTGCCTCTTTCCTTGAGCTTGCAATAACAGTAATTAATGAGCATATCTGTTATGAAAACCCATCTGTCTTTTTACCTTGGGGCTCACAGATACCCTGTCTCCCTATCAGGGCTGCTCCAGTACAGAGTGGCCTTCCTCCATATGGCCTAACAGTAAATGAGGAGCCGAGATATTACTTGACTCCTGGTTCTATCTTTATGTGATTTGGCTAAATCCCTTCCTTTCTCTAATCCTTAGCTTTTCTCAACTGCAAACCAATTGCATTACAATTCATAATCCTGGTGCTTACAATAAAATAGCTACTCTTTACCAAATGCCTGACATAGGCATGCATTTTATAATGTTTACTTTGCATAATGATCCTGTAAGAATTATAACTGTGGGCTGGGGATGTGGCTCAAGCGGTAGCGCGCTCGCCTGGCATGAGTGCGGCCCGGGTTTGATCATCAGCACCACATACAAACAAATATGTTGTGTCTACTGAAAACTAAAAAATAAATATTAAAAAAAGAATTATAACTGTTACTTTATTTATTTATTTTATGGTACTATGTATTGAGTCCAGGGTTGCTTTACCACTAAGCTGTTTTCGGGCTACTAGTTCCGTGCTCTCCAGCAGCCACAGTCAGAAAGTGCTGGAGGAGACCCAGGGCCTCCCCAGTCCTTTTAATTTTTAATTTTGAGACAAGTCATAGAAGTGGCCTTGAACTTGTGATCCTCCTGCCTCAGTCTCCCAATCTGCTGGGATTATAGGCATGTGCCACTGTGCTTGGCATAACCATCATTTTGTAGATGGCAAAATTAAGGCAGAGTCACATGCCCAGGAGCACAGAGTTAGTTAAGTGGCAAACACAGGCTTGGTTGATTACAAAGGTTTACTGATTCTAGAATGCCAGGTGCTAACTGTTGTAAGACAAGCAGCTGTACACACAATTTGAAGGCCCCTGTGGCTCTGATACCATCTGCTACCTAGAAGTCTCACAGCTTTGAGGTGAAGTCACCTAGGTTCAAATCTCAGTTCTACCATTTGTTACCTGTGGAACTACAGGCCAGTTACCTAACCCCTCTGAGATTTGTTTTCCTCATGCATACATAAGAGAGGCTCCTCTAAGACTCAGGTTCCTGACCTATAAAATGGGGTGGATATTAGTACCAACTATATGAGGTTATTATGATAATTTAAATAAAATTGTCTGGGCTGGGTTGTGGCTCAGTGGTAGAGTGCATGCCTAGCATGTGTGAGGCATTAGGTTTGATTCTCAGCACAGCATATAAATAAATAAATAAAATAAAGGTTCATCAACATCTAAATAAAAGTATCTGGCACATAGTGCTCAATAAATCTGAGCTTCCCCCTGCCTTTTGGTATTGGGGCTTGAACCCAGGTATGCTTTTCCTCTGAGCTATCCCCAGCTCTTTTTATTTTATTTTTCGGTACTGGCAATTGAAGTCTGAGGCACTCAACCACTAAGCCATATCCTCAGCTCTATTTCGTATTTTATTTAGAGACAGGGTCTTATTGAGTGGCTAGTGTCTCGCTTTTTGTTGAGGCTGGCTTTGAACTTGCAATCCTGCTGCCTCAGCCTCCTGAGATACTGGGATTACAGGTGTGCACCACTGTACCTGGCTTGTTTTTTGAGACAGGGTCTCATTAAGTTGCTAAGGCTGGCCTTGAACTTGTGATCCTTCTGCCTCAGCCTTCTGAGTCATTGGGATTACAGGTGTGTGCCACCATGCCAGCACCAAATGTACGCTTTTGTCACTGTTACTGTTTTATGGGCTCTGTGAGTCATGCTGGCAAAGAGGGAGAGGCAGAAGGTATCATTTTTTTTTTTTTTTTTAGTTGTAGATGGACACAATATCTTTATTTATTTTTATGTGGCACTGAGGATGGAACCCAGTGCCTTACACATGCTAGGCAAGCGCTCCACCACTGAGCCACAACCCCAGCCCCCAGAGAGTATTTTTGAAAAGATTTCCATGGCAGCTGCAGCTCTTGACAACATAGACAATGTCCTTTACTCTAGCAGTTAACCAATGTTCCTAGTTACATTTGTTTCCTTTATATCTTCAAGCATACCTGGAAGACATATCCCTTTAAAGTATGCAAAGGAGAAAACAATTGCAATAAGAATTTAAGTCCTTTCTAGACATTTAAGGTCAGTATCATGGTTTACCATTTTCAAGAAAAACACAATATAAGGGACTACCAGAACCACTCTTCTCTCAAGGTCAGGGGTGGGACCTGGGAGTGGTGTGGGGTTAACAATCACCACTGGTGCACAGATTACAAAGCTCACTCTTTCTTTCTTTCTTTTTTTTTCCTTCAGAGCCAGGAATAGAACCTAGGGCCTCATGCATGCTGGGAAAGTGCTCTTGACCATTTAGCTACAATCTCAGTTCACAAAGCCTACTACCTGTTAAACATCAGACACCATGCTAGAAGTTTGTGTATTTATGTCTTTGGGTTTATATACGCTGCAAGTGAGATGGTTATTTCCATTTTCCAGAGTAAGAAGCATTCTTAGAGAAGTTTAGGGGTTTATGTGGAGTCAGAGCAGAAGTTGCCCTCTGCAAAGCCCCTCTGGACTCTCCTGTGTTCCCTTGGAGGAACAAGATCTCAACGCACTTTTTGCTTATCTGTAAGCTACATTCAAATTATTATTTGGGGCAACTGTAGAATTTATTAGAACTTCTAAAACAAGATTTGCCCAGTATATACATCAAGTGAATTTCCAGTTGCTTGTTTTACATGTCCAATATTCTGGTTTACCTGTATGATTTTATGAAGTATAAGTTGCTAGAGTAACTTTTTTTTTTTTTTGGTACCAGGGATTGGACTCACTGAGCTACATCCCCTTTTGTTTTTTATTTTGAGACAGAGTCTGGCTAAGTTGTTTAGGGACTTGCTAAATTGCTGAGGCTGGCTTGCAACTTGTGATCCTCTTGCCTCAGCCTCCTGAGCTCCTGGGATTGCAGGTGTGAACCACCATGCCTGGCTCTAGAGCTGATTTTTTTTTTTTGGTGGTGCTGGAGATTGAACCCAAGGCCTTGTGAATGCTAGGCAGGCACTCTACCAACTGGGCTATATCCCCAGCCCTAGAGCTGATTTTTAAACATACGGTTTATTTAGAAAAGACTGTAGCAGAAGAATGTCACTTGTCTTAAGTCGATGGAAGTCTTTCTCCCATCCTACTTCCTTCTCTACTATTACCCTTTTTTTTTTTAAGTTGTAGTTGGACACAATACCTTTATTTATTTATTTATTTTTATGTGGTGCTGAGGATTGAACCGGGGCCTCCCACATGTTAGGTGAGCGCTGTACCGCTGAGCCACAACCCCAGCCCTCTACTGTTACCTTTATTTTCTCTTGCCCTTTACTAACATGCCTCTTGAAAGAGCTGTCTATACTTTTCTGTACTTGTTTCTCCATTTCATTGTCTCTCAACCACTTTGTCACCTACCATTACATACAAAGACATGAATAGTCTTTCTGAGGCCAATAGTGGCTTCCGTGTATCTTAATTTAATGGACAAAATGAATACTTATTAGGCCTCCTCATATCTGACAGAACTAGCAATTGCTCCCTTCTTCAAATTCTCTCAGCTTTGGCTTTTGACATTTGAATTTTCTCCTCTGGTTGTTCCTTCTCAGCATCTTTTTCCATCTTCCCCCTCCCCTCCAGTACTGGGGATGATACCCCCGGCCTTGTGCACACTAGACAAAAGCTCTGCACTGAGCTACATTCCCAGCTGTGCTACCTTCTGTTGAACCTACCATTTAATACTGGCATCCCAGAGGGCTCCATCCTCTTTTTCTTTCTTTCTTTCATTTTCTTCTTTATTATTATGATTTTATTATGATTGAACTTGAAGTCACATGAGCACTAACAAGCTAACACTCCCCCACTTAGCTACCCCCCAGCCCTTTTAATGTTGAGAATTGAACTCAGGGCCCGATGCATTCTAGGCAAGCCCTCTACCTTTGAGCTACATTCCCAGCCCTTTTTATTTTGAGACAGGGTCTCACTAAATTGCCCAAGATGGCCTCAAACTTGTGATCCTCCTGTCTTAGCCTCTTAAGTAGCTGGGATTACAGGTGTATACTACAGCACTTGGTAATCTAAATCATTTTGTGCGTGTGTGTGTGCGTGTGTGTGTATGTGTGTGTGGTGCTGGGAATTGAACCCAGGGCTTTGTGTATGTGAGGCAAGCACTCTACCAACTGAGCTATATCCCCAGCCCTCTAAACCATTTTTAAGTGTATAGTTTTGTGGTGTCAAGAACACTCACACTGTTGCACAAGTATCTCTAAAACTCTTTCATCTTGCAAAACTGAAGCTCCACACCCATTAAACAACTCCCCACTTTCCTTTGCCCCCTGCCCCCACCATTCTATATACTTTCGTTCCCATGAGT